CTTTTTCTCCCTTACCACTCTCTTTACATCATCATTCTACCAGTCTCTCTTCTTCCCTCCCGCACCCACTTTCCTGTAACCACAAAATTCTGCTGAACACTCTAACACTACATTCTTAACCTACCCCATACATCTTCGAACCCATTGCGTATACTCTCACTAGCCCATCTATCATCCAGTAGTTATTTATATCTTACCCTAACTGCCTCCTCTTTTAGTTTATAAACCTTAACCTCTCTCTTACTTGCTGCTTCTATTTTCCTTGCATCCCATCTGCCTTCTACTCTCACTGTAGCTACAACTAGAAAGTGATCTGATATATCTGTGGCCCCTCTACAAACATGTACATCGTGAAGTCAACTCAGCAGCCTTTTATCTGTGATGAATGGTTTGAAAAACCGACAAGTTGAAGATTGAAACACTTATGCAACATATGGAAATCTTTATTCAGGAAACGTTTCGCCACACAGTGGCTTCTTCAGTCCAGTACAAAGTAGAAAGGCGTAAGGAGAGGAGGAGTTTGAGGTTGTGAGGGAAAAGTTCAATAGATAGGAGTAGAGAGGGAATATATAGTAACAATAGTTTCATTGCCGGCTACTCGTTAAGGTAGGGTCAGTCTAGCTCCCGATATTCCCGCCTTTTCTCCCCCAACCCCTAAATTGATGGTTTGTCTGCCGGCTACTAGTTAAGGTAGGGTAAGTCATGCTCCCGTTTTTCCCGCCTTTTCTCCCCCACCCCTAAAGTGATAGTTTGATTGCCGGCTGCTTGTTAACGTAGGGTCAGTCTAGCTCCCACTATCCCTTCCCCTCCCTCTTCCACCTCCCCCCCCCCCGAAAGCTGATGTGTGGGGCTCTGGTCAAACAGTAAATCACTAGACTCACAGCTCCCAACACTACTGTAAGTACATGCCTGCCTTGTATTCTAGTGGATTTATTGGTTAAAAGCTTCACTTTTGATCAATAATAAACTTAGTCTTTTCAGCCTTGCTCTATGTTGACTGTTGTAATAATCACCACATCTTTTAAGTATCAGACTTACCATGGAGAGTGATTATTTAAGCAGTGGGTAACCTGTCTGTCTTTCCAGCTTGGATGTCAGAGAGGGTCACCTGGCAATCAACGAGCAGAACAGGAGAAGGACTAACGTCCAGAGACTTCTCCATTTTGTATTGAACTACCTGTGCACTTGTATGAAAGTGCAGGACGTAACTCCACAGCATTGCAGCGGTAAAGAATCTGCTTTCCTGTCATCGGGATAATAATCACGGCGATTCTCTGTGAAGAACTAGTCAGTGGATGGTCACCAACTCCTGCGACCTCCCCCCCCCTTATCATCAGCAACGGCTACGGTTTCAACAACAGTGTCACCAACACCAGACACCCCAGTAGATATTAGCGTTGAGTTCAAATGTTATTTTATTCATTTCATTTTTCATTTTTCTTTCAAATAGGATATACCTTTCATGTTTTATTGTTTTATGTTTGATTTAATAAATAATAAAGTGTTTATCTTTGTGAATTATTATTTCTTTTTCTATTCATTAATTTTCCTGAGGAGGAGCCAGCCTGAGTAATACTGTCTGAAGTTGTTACAGGGCTGAGTAAGCCTTCACAGAGGTAATCAGTCCCTCAGCCTGGAGTCGATGTGTTCAGTCCATCAATCTTGTAGAATGCACAGCATAGGGCCGTAGATATGGCTTATGTACTGTAGTGAGGTGAAGTGAAGCAGGAGGTTGATCAGGGTCTGATCAACCAGGCTGTTGCTGCTGGCAGCACCCAAGCTGACATACGAACCAACCACAGCCCGGTTGGTCAGGTACTGACTTTAGGTGCCTGTCCAGTGCCTTCATAAAGACAGCCAGGGGTCTATTAGTAATCCCCCTTATGTATGCTGGGAGGCAGCTGAACTGTCTTGGGCCCCGGACACTTATTGTGCTGTCTCTCAGTGTACTCTTGGCGCTTCCGATTTTCATCGGGGAATGTTTCATCTCCTGCCGAGTCTTTTGTTTTCATATGGAGATTTTCGCGTGCAGGTTTGGTACCAATCCCTCCAGAACTTTCCAAGTGTATATTATCATGTATCTCTCTCGCCTGCGTTCCAGGGAATGCAGGTCAAGGACCTTCAACTGTTCCCAGTAATTAAGGTACCTTATCGCACTTATGTGTGCCGTGAAAGTTCTTTGAACACTCTCCAGATCAGCAACGTTGCCAGCCTTGAGGGGGGCCGTTAGTGTACAGCAGTATTCCAGCCTAGAGAGCACAAGCGATTTGAAGAGAATCATCATGGGCTTGGCGTCCCTAGTTTGAAGGTTCGCATTATCCAGCCAATCATTTTCCAAGCAGATGCGGTAAATACATTGTTATGGTCTTTGAAGGCGAGATCTTCTGACATTATCACCCCCAGGTCCTCCACATTACTTTCTCGCTCTATTGTATGGTTAGAATTTTGTCGCATACCCTGGTACATTTTTAATTTCCTCAAGTTTCCCATATCTGAGTAGTTGAAAATTCTCCTCGTTGAACTTCATATTGCTTTGAGAGGCCCATTCAAAGATTTGGTTGATGTCCGCTTGGAGTCTCGCAGTGTCCTCGATGGAGGTCACTGCCATGGTAATCCGGTTGTAGTCCGCAAAGGAAGACAATGAGGATGAGGAATAGAATGGGAGCGAGTACTGTGCCTTGTGGACAGAGTTTTACCGTGGCTGCCTGGGACATTACTCTTTTTACTATTACTCTTTGTTCTATTTGTCAGGAAGTTATAGATTCATCTACCAACTTTTCTTGTTATCCCTTTATCACGCATTTTGTGTGCTATTGCATCATGGTCACACTTGTCGAAGGCTTATGCAAAACCTGTATACTACATCTGTATTTTGTTTATCCTCTACAGCTATCCAGGACCTTGTCATAGTGATCCAGTAGCTGAGACAGGCAGGAGCGACCTGCTCTGAACCCGTGTTGCCCTGGGTTGTGTAACTTAGAGGTATTAGGTGGTTGGCGATCTTGCTTCTTAGAACCTTCTCAAAGATTTTTATGACATGGGATGTTGGTGCTGTCGGTTTGTAGTTCTTTGCAATTGCTTTACTGCCACCTTTATGGAGTGGGCTATGTCTGTTGTTTTTAGTGTGTGTGGGATGACCCCTGTGTCCATGCTCCCTCTCCATAGAACGCTGAAGGCACATGAACAGGGGCTTCTTGCAGTTCTTGATGAACACGAGTTCCATGAGTCTGGGCCTTGCGGAGTTACGATGATATCCGAATTTTTGAGATGACCAAATTTTGGGTTTCGTTCATAAAGAATTCATTTGGATTGTCATTAGGATACGGCCAGTTTGTAGAAAAAAAAATTCTCTCTCCCAGGAAAGTAACAGACTGTATTCCTAAAATACTGACTCGCATGGTAAGGCAGTTCTTAGGGATGGGGATAATGAAGTGACTTGTGAGGAAATAATGTAGGCAGAACTCTGCTGTATAATGTGGGAAGCCTACGAATATTTTGTAGATGATATTATTTATTATATTCTCATGTATTGATTATTTATGAATTAAGTTACATAGTGAGAAACAGGATTATTTTTTTTTTTTGCAAGTTTATATTTGTGATAGTGTACAGCTATGTCATCGTGGGAGAAGAGCGATGACTGGTCACAATTGTTCCTGAGAAAATGCAAATGTTAGTATCCAGGGATGAAACTGTTATCCATGAGGTGAAAATTGACCAATTTATAAGTCTTGCAAACAAGGCAGCCAGGAAGCTTAGAGCACCTAGACATATTCTCATCCGCTTGACAGCAGAGATTGCAAGTGCACACAAGTACGCACACTAAATGAATAAGTTGCTTTCCATCTCATCTTCGAGTTCTTGACAGAATAGAGAACAGAGCAAGACGACTCAACTTTCGTCTGGACACAGGCTGGATAAATCTGTCATTTTAGCAGAACCTTCAATACAGGAGAGATGTGTTGGCCTTACTGTTATGTACTACTGTTATGTACTACTGTTATGTACTACTGTTATGTACTGCTGTTATGCACTGCTGTTATGTGCTACTGTTAGGTACTACTGTTAGGTACTACTGTTATGTACTACTGTTATGTACTGCTGTTATGTACTACTCTTATGTACTACTGTTAGGTACTACACTTGGCTCCACTCCGCGGAGAGCAAGAACTGAGATTCTACACAACAAAACAGCAACTACACTCTGACTGTATCTTCTCCAGAACACTTCATCATCCCAGATCATTTATTCCTAGAATGAATCGTGTTTGGAACATTTGGGGTGGCCTGGTGGCTAAGGCTCCCGTTTCACACACGGACCCGGGTTCGATTCCCGGCGGGTGGAAACATTTCAACGCGTTTCCTTACACCTGTTGCCCTGTGCACCTAGCAGCAAATAGGTACCTGGGTGTTAGTCGCCTGGTGTGGGTCGCATCCTGGGGACAAGATTTAGGACACCAATGGAAATAAGTTAGACAGTCCTCTGACGCATTGACTTTCTTGGGTTATCTTGGGTGGCTAACCCTCCGGGGTTAAAAATCCGAACTATATCTTATCTTATCATAACGACATCACCGAAATAAAGTCAATCGTCCATACGAAATAGCTGGCTAACAGATGGTTCTAAGTTCATTCTGTTCCCTATATGTATATCTCTCAACAATTAAAGGCTTTCAAATTAGCTGAAATAGGTAACAGCTCTTAGCTTGCAAATAAAGTTAGGAACCCTAAACGTAACCTTGTAAAATCCTGTGTACAAGAGAGAGAGAGACAGAGAGAGAAAGAAAGAGAATCAGAGAACAGAAAAAGAACTTGTATCAATTGTATGCAGAAACGAAAGCCAGAGAACGGGTAATGCACTAACATGTAGATGAGAAAGCAGAGACAATGTACACGTTTACATAGCAAAGAGACCACTCACGATATTACCAAAATGTGAGAAAACACGTAACTATTCACTTTGTAAGACAATACTGTAAAAACAGTTGATTTTAACATACGTCTGTTGTGAAGACGATGACAGAGTTGTCATAGTGACCAGTGGTCTTGAGAGCGTCCACCACCCGTCCCACAGCCTCGTCCATGGCGCTGATCATTCCTGCACCAGGTGTACAACAAATTTATTGAAAGAACAGATATTACAAATTGAAAATAATAATAATAATAATAATAATAATAATAATAATAATAATAATAATAATAATAATAATAATAATAATAATAGATTAAAATACAGGCAGTGAGAACTTTTTCCTGTTAGAAACAAGTTAAATATAATTAAGTCAGCCTCCTGTGACCAGTTTCAATAATTAATGGCAGATTATCATTCAGTTTACTTTTGCTGGTTCAAATTTGTCAAAATACGAGAAAATGTTAAGAAACTTGGAACTACGTTGCACGTTGCAACGTAGTCAATCACTTTTCAAATAAAGATCTACCTGAGCACAGGTAGATTTTTATGTGATCTACCTGAGCACAGAGTACATGAATAGGAAGGCCACGCTAGCTGGAGATTCGTCTGTAAAAACTTGCATTTGTGGTCGCAGTGGTGCCTATGCTAACCTTCCTATGGTGTAGAAACATACCTAGTTGGACGAATCTTATTGTGGCTAGCTGGTCTAGTGGCTAACGCGACGGTCTGGAGTTTTGAGACTCTCTGACCGCGGGCTCAATCGCGCCCCTGGTATGGTTTGTTTGCAATCGTGTCATTACGATTTCGTGAGTCATGTTCTTCTTCCTTGATGATGAGTCTTGCATCTCTGTAGTTGATTAAATGGTTGTGGAAATATCGGTGTCGAACACACAAATTCCTCAAATCGTCCATTGTGCCTTGGCATTGTTGTCTAGAAATACGTTTTTGGAAGAATCTGGATGTCTCGCCCACGTATTATTGGTTGCAGTCGTTGGAAGGGATTACGTGTGCTACTCTAGACGATTAAACTTTGTAGTGTCTCTTACTAGTGATGTCTTTAATAGTGTTGGATGTGAAAGTAGAGACTTGATAGGCAGTATTGGATAAGATGTTGGAGACGTGTTTGTCAACGGTGTTATTGGGAAGAACCATGTATATCCTCTCTGTGATATTTTGTCTGGGTGAACTGAAGATGTTATTTTCACGGTGTTGCCGTCTAATGAAGTAACGAGGGTAGTGAAGTTTAGAAAATACTTGTTCGATTAAAGAACATTCTCCCTCAAGGAATTTATTGCTACAGATTCGAAGAGCACGAAATATGAATACGCCACTTTTAGTTTTGGTGTCGTTGTTAGAGGTGGAGAAGATTGTGCTGGATGGTAAGTTTTCGGTAAACTTGAAAACGAAGTTCGTAGTCAGCTTTGCAGACAAGAGCATCAAGGAAAGGAAGAGTGTTCTCAACCTGGTTGAGCTGGAATGAGGGCTCGACCTGGATGAGCTTGTGTTGGAGAATTTGAACGTTGAAGCGTCTGGGAGTTATGATGAGAATGTCGTCAACGTAATGGAGCCAAGTGATTGAAGAGAGAGTAATAGAGGAAAATAGCTCGGCTTCTATATGTTCCATGAATATGTTTGCCAGAACAGCATTAAGTGAGGAATTCATGGGCAGTCCAGAAGTCTGTTGAAAAAGAGGATTTTCAAAAATAAACATATAAAACCAGCACAAAGTTCATCAAGGTGGATGAAATCGCTGGGTGAAACAGGGAGGTCGAGGGAGTCGTCAGTCTTCCTGCGCAGATCATTGGAGAGTGTAGTGGGTACCTTGCTAAATATAATTTCTTGTTCCTTGCTAAATATAATTTCTTGTTTCGGATACGACTGAGAAGATCACCAGAGAGTTTAAGATGTGCTCGACTGATTGTTTCCAAGAGTTTAGAAAGAAGTTTAGCAAGAAACCCTGAGAGTTGGTGAGGAGCACAGCCTATTCCAGACAAGATGCCTCAGAGGAATTCTTTGTTAGTTTTTGGGAGGCCATACATTCTGGCGGGTCTGGTGTTGCTGAGAGAGAAGATACATAATTCACCACACCAACTTCGCTTCCAAACACGTATTCAAAATCTTTTCTAATACCTCCTTCCAATTATCTACCTCCACATCCAGCACCATCAAAGACATCACCAGTATATGACACCATATTGTTCAATCATCTGCAGGAGTATACATAATCCCTTGCAACGATTGCAAGGGATTATGAGCGAGACATCCAGAGACCTCCAAACACGTATTTCAGAACACCGGTACGCAGGCAGAATGAAGAATGTCGGTTCTACATCGAAATTTCCACAGCCATTTAATCAACTAGAGAGACGCAAGACTCATCGCGCAGGAAGACACTCAGAGTCGTAGGATCTTGGAATCATTAATCATCAATATATCTTACAATTTCAACCAGAACGGCTTTTACAACACAACTGACTCCCTTGCCAGGAAACTTCATCATTATCCTTCATAACAACCAACCTAATTATCCATGCCGTTATTTCAACACCCCACGAACCCCATAAACGCTCGCAATTATTTCAACACTTTTTCAGTTATATAAAATTGAAAAATATTCTGGCCTTACAGTTATAAAGGATCACTAAACAACAGGACTTTTTTCCAACGGTAGGAAAATTTATAACCATTTAATTTTAAACACCAAAAATAATCCACTGTTACAACAAATTTGGGATGAAATCATAAATACCTAAAATACATTCACTGTTGGATAAAAATAACAACTCGCAGATTTAATACAATCCCGCGACTCATCTGATAATTCAACAGGATCAAATAATATCAAGGATCATGAGTAATATCAAATGACTCCGAATCATTCTGACTATTTGCAGATTAACCCGCTCTTGTAATTAGATATTAAGATAAATAATAATATCGACTTCACTACAAAACTAGCATAAAATCACAGAACCAAATAATATGACTATATTATAATCAACGATTATAACAACATGCAATTATAATCATTGTTCATGATAAAACAACACAATACAGTGACTGGAACAAAACATCAAATAATCATCGACGTAGAGATAAGTATAACAGACGACTTATGTTTCAACTTCGCGTAAAATCAACGACACAGTGTAATATAACAGCAGCAAATCACACACAATACAAGCCAAGTATTCTTGAGTCTAATTAACCACGCTCGTGAATCTAGATCCATAAAAATAACTAGGACTGGATTCCAAAATACGTCACAGAAATCTTCGCTCACAGTTTAATCAATACTAGATCACGTAATACTCATCAGTGCAGGAAACTAATCAAGCAGTAGGACTGGAACTTATATCAAATCACAAAGTAAAGCAACAGCTCTATTCAAACGAGCCCCTGCAGATAATTTAATAATCGACTAAGAAATCAACAACACAAATCATCGCATGATAATAATCAAAACAGACTTGCGATAATAACAAAACTGCAGATAATATCAAACAACTCAAGATAATAATGAAACGACTCAGATATAATCAAACAGCTCACAAAACAATAATCTAACAGACTCACAATAATATCAAAGGACTTAACCAGATAATAACTCACAAATCAACACATCGCAGATAATTACAACAGACTGCAATAATAATAACAACGTACACAAATAAAATCAACAGACTGCAGATAATAATCAACAGACAGCAGATAATGATCAACCAGACTGCAGATTTTAATATAACAGGACTGGCAATAAATAACAAGACTCACAGATAATAAACAACAGATCACATTATAATAATTCAACCAGACTCACAGAAAAATAATAAAACAGGACTGGCAGAATTACTAATCACAGACTGCAGTAATAATCAACAGACTACAGATAAAAATCAACAGAGAATTCGTTTCAGTAATAATCAACAGAATCACAGATATAATCAACAGATTGAGATAATAATCAAAAAACTCACATTATAAATAAGATAACGAGACTGGCACATAAAATCAACAGACTCACAGATAATAACAACAGACTAGAGTAATATCACAGACTCACAAGATAATAATTCAAAAGACTCAGCGTATTAATCAACAGACTGGCAGATAATAATCTACCAACAAATGATAATTAATCAGCAGACTGGCCAGATAAGAATCATCTGACTCATGATAATATCAACAGATGGCGGTAAATATTCAACCGACTCGCAGATAATAATCAATCAGACCACAGATAAACATCAACAAACTGCAGATAATAATCAAACAGACTCGCAGATAATAATCAAGAGACTCAGATTAAATCAACAAGTATCGCAGATAATAATCAACAGACTCACAGATAAAATCAACAGACTCACAGATAATAATCAACAGACTCACAGATAATAATCAACAGACTCGCAGATAATAATCAACAGACTCGAAGATAATATCAACAGAGGTCACAATAATAATCAACGACTGCAGAATAATAATCAACAGACTCGCAGATAATTATCAAAAAGACTCGCAGATAATATCAACAGACTGGCAGATAATATATCAGACTGCAAATAATAATCAACAGACTCAATAAAATCAACAGACTCACAATAAATAATCAACAACTCACAGAAAATAATAACAGACTCACAGATATAATCAACAGACTCCAGAAAATCAACAGACTCACAGATAATAATCAACAGAGATTCGCAGATAATAATCAACAGACTCACAGATAATAATCAACAGAGATTCGCAGATAATAATCAACAGACTCACAATTAATAAACAAGAGACTGGCAGATAATAATCAACAGACTCACAATAATAATCAACAGACTCGCAGATAATAATCAACAGACTGGCAGATAATAATCAACAGACTGGCAGATAATAATCAACAGACTGGCAGATAATAATCAACAGACACAGATAATATGAGCAGATCACAGTAAATCAACAGATCAGAGTAATAATCAACAGACTGGCAGATAATAATCAACAGATCACAGATAATAATCAACAGACTCACAGATAATAATCATACAGACTGGCAATGATAATTAATCAGCTCGCAGATAATAATCAACAGACTCACAGATAATAATCAAAAGACTCACAGATAATAATCATCAGACTCACAGATAATAATCAACAGCCTAGCAGATAATAATCAATCAGATCAGATATAA